TACTTTTCATGTTTCAAACGTAATTTGCTGACATTAATGAGATTCGATGTCGGGGCTGCTTTCTATTTGACCTTCAACCTCAGTCTCTTCCTACGATGTTTTCTTGTAAAGGATTTTGCAAACATTGCCGAATGAGGTGCCTTCTCTTATGTCTACGTGACAGCTGCCTTCCTTCCCGAGATAAAAGTCTGAAAAGCCAGGACGGAAGGAGAGGGCTCTCGAGGGGCCGGGAGTCTGTCCTGTGGCCCCGAGGGGCTCAGCGGCCGGGCGGGTGCTCCCTCCCGGACTTAGGGTTGGACACCATTCCTGGTCACCACCAGCCTTAAGGCGGCAGCCCATGCTATTCTAGATTCCGCCTACAAGCGAGATTGCACAGCATCTGTCTTTCTCTGACTCGTGGCACGTAGCCTAACGCCCTCCAGCTGATCCACATGGTTCCAAATAGTGGGATTCCCTTCTTTCTCATGGCTCAGAGTATTCCCTCGTGCGTGTAGACACCTCGTCTTTGTCCGCTCGCTCACCCATCCGTGGGCGCTTAGGTTGTTCACACGGCCCGGCTGCCGGGGATGGTGTTGCAATGAACACGGGGGTGCAGGTATCTTTCCGAGATCCTGTCCGCATTTTCCTTGGGCAAACAAACACCCAGAAGTGGAGAGACTGGGTCGTGTGGTGGATCTATTTTGAGACAACAGTGGTTGCCGGATCCCGGGGGTGGGGGAAGAGGGACATGTTTGAGGGCACACACTGGCAACCGGGAGATGATGAAGTCCTGGGGACCCAGCCCACGGCACAGCGAACCCAGTGACCTTGACACAGCACTCCGGCACGCGAGGGAAGGGGCGAGAGGCTCTGCGTCGGGAGGGCCAAGCCCCACGCTGGCATCGGTGAAGGCCGTGGGCGGGAAGCCAGGAGGGAGCACACGGAACCCCAGAGGGCGGGGGTTGGCGGACGGGGCCTGGGTCGGTGAGGTGGGGGCCAGGCTGGCCTCCTTCGCCCGAGGAGAGCAGATTCGGCGAGGCCTCCGCGTTGGTCCGTGGAGGGGCAGCCTCGTGACCACGAGAGACTGTCGTCTGCAAAGGTGAGCAACACGCAGACTATTCGGGGAGCGTCCCCGGAAGGTGCAGGCACAGGGCCGGGGTGCTGGGGAGGCTCCCTTCACTGTGCAGCCTCCCTGCAGACTCTCCTAGCTGGGGCTGCCGAGCTGGGTGGGGGAGTGTCTTCATCTGCAGGAGTGCTGGGAGAGTCAGGTGGTGACAGGCGGGGAGGACACGGCCTGGGTGACCGCTGTGCACCTGGCTTATCTGCCTGGGGCGCTCCCAGCATGGCGGCCTTGCTCCCCCTGGAATTCCTGGGGTGGCGTTCAGTCCCAGGCGTGTGGCTCCCGGGGCATGGTGACGGGGTCACCCCTAGGTGTGGTTCAGCCTCTGGTTCAGCTCCTGAGAGGTGAGCCCAGTGCAGAAAAGGTTCTCTGTGTCTCCATCATGACCTCTGCTGTGAGCTGGGGTACAAGCAAGAGAAAGGCCACCACAGCCACTGGGAGAGGGGACTCCCGGTGTCCTCAAAGCAGACGACACAGCTGCATGTCAGCATCTAGCTGGCTGGTGCGTTCCCCAGCTTATCGCGAGGTCCCTGTGACTCCCGTCAGCCCAATCTTTGGTCACATCCACTCTCGCCCCAGGGATTCATCAGCAGCTGGGTCAACGAGACCTCCAGGGTCCAGAACCCAGAGTGAGGAGGCCCCTCAGCTGTGGTTTTCCAGGATCAGCTCTTCCTCACTCAGCCCTCCGTGTGGCCCCTAGAAAGGGTGGCAGTGAGTGATGGGCATCTGGGGACCCACTCATGCCTAGAATTTGGACATTTCTTATGAGGGCTCTTTGGGGGGGGGGGATCTTTCCCTCTGCACGGATTCTGACTTCATCCCCACGGGAACTGTGAACTCTGCACCGAGAACTCTCTTCCAGCTCCAAGTACGGAGATTATATTGGGAACAGACATTTTCAGGAGGAGCTAAGTCAGGTTGCTGAGAAAAATCCCACGCCCGTCACTCCTAAGGAGAGACTGTCCATCGGCTGGAATTTTCCAGGGCACTGGGGTGGGGGGTGGGTAGAGCAGGGTTCCAGACACGGAGTTGAAGATTCCAGTCCCTGTCTGCGTCTCCTGAGTCTGGGAGGCTCCCAGAGCTCCCAGCGGCAGACATAGGTGCATTGACCTACAGCCCGCCATGGCCGGCACGGGACGGGTGGGGGGCTTCACAGGGGGCAGGCTGTGTGTGACGGGGAAGTCGGCGTATCCCCCCACGGTGGGGGGCCAAGTGGGGTTTCACACACACAGCGCCCACCTCTCTGCTTGGCATGAGCAATGCTAAATAAATGTCAAGGCACATACCCCCTGTGCCATTTCGTTGCTAAAATGGTGCCGATGAAGGTTCTGGTCAGGGACTAACACAGGCGAAGCTGGGAAGCGCCCTAACCCCTTCCAGGGCATGTGTGAGGCCAGGCTGGGGGACAGACCCAGAGCAGGACATGCCCAGGTTGATGGCTGCCCCTCTCTGGTCAGTCCTACCTCTTTGCTTGCTCCCCGGCGCCGACCTCCCCCTCCCCTGCCCGTCCCTGTCCTTGTGACACATCGCTTTGGTATCTCCCGATGGGACGTGAAGTCCTGGAAGGCGAAGCCACGTCCACCCATTTTCGCACCCTGCACCTGTCCAGTGAAGGGTCACTGAAAACAGTAGAAGCATCACTAGGAATCCGTTCGAAGGACACAGGGCCGGGGAGCGGCCCCATTGCCTTGGTGGCTCAGGGAGATTCCTGACGTTCGAATAAGCTGCCCGAGGCCCGCAGGATCCCAGCTCGGCGTCCTCTGGCTGTGGCACCAGCCAAAACCATACACATTTGCAATCCCGACTTCCTGTGTGTAAAACGGGTTTACAATTACTTCCCGCACGGGTGGGCTCCTGTGCCAGCCGAGACGGTATAGGTTTGCTGTGTTACATCGGCAGCTGGGGCTGTCTGCGAGTGGGGCCGGTTCCGGGAGCGAGCGGGGCCAGCCACGCCAGGAAATGCGCTTCTGACAGCGGACGTTCCCTGGTGCCCCATCAGGGCTGGTCTATCCCAGGCCCGGGGGGGAGTGGTGTGCTGGTTAATTTCACACAGCGACTCGACTGAGCTACGGTTCCCACCCGTTTGGTCAAACGCGAGACTTGGTGTTGCGACGAAGATAGATTTCACAGGCGATTAACATGTAACGGCGAAATCAGTAGGCTCTGAGTGGTCCAGATGGAGCCTCCATAACGTAGGTGGGCCTCACCCAATCAGTTGAAGGGCATAAGAACAAAGAGGGGGGTTTCCCTGAGGAAGGAATTCGGCCTCAAGACTGCGACTCTGCCTGTGTTCCCGCCTTCTGCCCTGCAAACTTTGGCTTTGCCAGCGCCCCCCATAATTGCCAGAGCCAATTCCCTAACATAAAGCTCTCTTCTCTTCCTGTATAACACCTGTCGTTTCTGTTTCCCTAGCGACCGCTGCCTCATAAAGCAGGGAACACAGGGTCAAGGGTTACCCTTGAACGGACTGGGGCACCGCCCACCCCACACTGGCCACCTCCATCACCAGTCACCTGCCGTCTTCCCCAGAGCCTCCTCGGTGAGGGGCACTATGAGACCAGCTTCAGCACGTTCTGTTGGATTCCAGGGCCCCCGCTCTCTGTCCCTGGACCAGTTCCCCGCCTCCGTGCCAGCCCGGGGATCTCAGGTGCAAAACTCGTGAGGAATCGTGAGCAGGTCGGAAGCAAGCGGTACAATATAAAATTTATTATAAAACTTCAGCAAATATAAATATCTCGGTGCCCATTCCGAATGGAGCTACAGCCTAGGAAAACAGGACAGAAAGCAGCACCAGCAGCGGGCAGGGTGTCGGGGGCCTGCTGTGCAGCTTTCAACCAGAAATGCTGGCCTTCTCTCCAACCGGTCTTGCAAAGCCACCGCAACTCACGGAAAGAAGTTTAAGAACAGCACGACACACAGAAACGAGACCTGGGGTTCTGAGGTGTGCACGTCAGCTGACGTCTGTCCGGGCAGGACCGACCACAACCTCATCGGGACAGCGGGGTTCGGGTGTCACGGGTCACCAGGCGGCTCTGGTAGAACCTGGAATTAATTCTATTGTTTTGGGAGAGAGACGCAGGAAGGAATGAATTGAACAGAAACACTCACTTGTAAATACCTGGGAAGGACAGAACAGAGGATACAGAAGTCCTCTCCTCCAGCTCAGGAGTCTGAAAGGGAGGGAAGCACCTTAGCACGATTTCATGTCTCCTGTTTCCAGGGCAAAGTCTGTGATGGGGACACACAGTCAGGAGCCTGGCCTCTCCCCAGCAGGGCAGCACCCCTCAGAGGTGACTCCCAGCTCTCGTCCCAGCAGCAGTTCCCAGCAAAGAGAAGCTCGCTGCTGGGGCAGGCCAAGGCGGCCCTGGGGACGCGGCCCTGGGGACACCGCCCGGGAGCTGTCCCCGCCAGCTGCTTCTCCAGAGGGAGGTCGGTTGTTCCAGACCTTGGGAAGGGGCCTCCTCGGCCGGAGGGAGGCCGGCATACCTAGGGGCAGAATTTCTTCACGTATTCCTAATTCCATGGCCTTTCCTTCTTTTTCCAAAGCACCACACATTTAGCGTTTACCAAGTTCAGCTCCTTCCGTCTTTTTGACCTGATTCAGCTGGAGCACAAGGGGGAGTGGGCATCACTGTGGGTCTGCAGCGTGGGCCTCCTGCCTGCCTCCATGCTTCAACTGAAAACTTGTGTGCACGTGTGCCCATGCATGCATTCAGACCCACAATGTGCACACACACACACACACGTGCGCGTGCACACTCTCTGTCCCGACAGATGGCTGAACACAGTTCTCCCAGCTTCGATCTCCTCTGGCCGAGTTCCGATGCACACCGCACAGCTGACGGGGGCTGAAGACGCAGCACCCCTCGCGTTCTCCGCCCTGGAAGGGGCCCCCCGGGCCTCACAGGTTGGACGCAGAGCAGGTCTTGCAGCACCGCTCCCCATAGAACTGGTGGCTGCACATCCCCTGCCGGGGGGCCAGGGGGCACCAGGGGAAGTGGTCTCGGCAGGCGCGGTCTGAAAAGCAGCGGATGCCGCGTTAGCTGGTGTCCCGGGGCAGGGGGAGGGGAGGGGGGGGTCCCACGGGCGCTGAAGCTGCTGAGGGCATCCCTGCAGGGGACACTCACCGTGAGCCGTTTTGGGGCAGATGGGAGGCGGGCATGGGAAGCAGGGAATGGCGTAGCAGGTACCCCACGTCTCAGGCCCACTAGGAACCGCTCCGGAAACCTGACAGTGCCACCCCCGAAAAGCCAGGGCCAAGCCGAGGGGCCCGGACACTCACCTTTTTTCTCTACGATGGGGCAGAAGTGGGTGTTGCAGGCCAGGGAGGCTGCGGGTTTCTGGTGCACGAAGCAGCCTGGGGCCGGCCGGCCGCCCGCCAGGCACTGCACGGCCCTCGTCTGCACGCCACCCCCACAGCTGGCCGTGCACTGTTGGAAACAGGTGCACAGCAGTCACCCACGGCCGTGGTGCCGGGCCACCCTCCCTTCCAGGCTTCCCCCTGCACCCAGATCCCCGGCGACTGTGGGGGGCTGACCAGATTCTGGATTAACCCCAGGTGTGGACACAGGGGACAAGGATCTGGAGCTCTAAAACGGCCTTGAGCTGTGCATGGTCTTAGAACACAAGGAAACTGGTGCCTATCTGGGGGTACCAGGAGGTCCCCGGGGCCTGCCCAGGCGACGGGTCAGGCATAAGAAACAGTTGCCCTACACGGACTGCAATCACCAAGGCACCTTTTCTGGGGCTCTTTCCTGGGAAAAACTTGACAAGCCAACTACCCCAGAGGCTCGAGAAAACCAAGCCCAAATCCCCGGACTCTGGATGCCTGCTTGGAAGCGGTGGACCAGTAGCCCGGATTCAAGGGCATCCTCCTGAGGGCGTTGTTCTGAAACACGTAGGCCCTGCTACCCGAAGGCAACCGAGCACAGCAGAGCCAGGAGGAGCCTCGTGTTTGGCTCGCCCTTCACCAGCCGGCCGGACGCACACCCCACCGACTACGAGAGCGGGTCCATCTGAGCTCAACTGGGCGCAAGAAATCAGGGGATGGGCGACCAGGGGGACAGAGCAACCAACGCCAGCAGCAGCACGTCCGTCCAAAAGGAGAGCTGTCTGATGTCTCGCCTGAATTATGTAGATTGTGCTCAAACAAGGCTCCTGGTTCAAAAGTGTCCAGAACGTAGCCGACGAAGGAGCACCTACAAGAAGACGGGGTCAGATGACACCGGGGATGCCTGGGGTGGGCGAGCCAGACGGTTGCTGTGAAATGCAAGGACAGATCCGTGCAGCACCGGGGCGCGCACGACACGGGCTGCTGGCCGAAACGCACGAGACTGCAAGCCAGGAGCCGTTCAAGTCAGCGAGCCCCGGGGCTGGTTTTCCAGAGCTGAGGTCAGCTTGCAAGTGAGAAGCCAGCGGTCTCCTGCTTCCTTCCGGGGACGTGAGCAGAGGCAACGTCGAGGTGGCTTTTTTCAAACCCCCTGGGGCAGGCGCTCTGATGGCGGGGGTCAACATCTTTGGGGATCCAGAGTCCTGCAAAGTCTGACGCTGGGGGGCTCGTTCTTTCTCTTCTGTTCCCCTGTTTAGGTAAAGGCTGGCCGGGCCCCTGGCGGGGAACAGCCGGGCTCCAGCCGATAAGCACGCGGGGCTGGAACATTTCGGTGAGGTTCACCCCCTTCTCTTCAAAAACCAACCTCAGCGATAGCCGTCAACAGCTCAGACTCAATACATTACTACAGCAACCGGAATAAAACGTCACGGGCGGGTTCGTGTCCGGTTTCCGAATTATCAGGCTCATCCACGACGGAGACAGATGTTCCTCGCTGCCTGTGACGTCCGTCTGAGCGTTCAGCACCGCCACACCTCTGGTCTTTGCGCTTCACACTCTAGGGCCTTCGGAGCCCCTCCCGGCTGTGCCGCAGGGTTCACGCTGGCCCCGTGTGTCCGCGTCTGTGCGCGTCCACTACCTCTCTGCCGAGAGCGGAGTTCTTGTCATCGTCAGCACGGCGCGGGGCTCCCTCTGGTCCCGCTAATGACGCGTCTAAACCGAGAAGCGAGAGATCTGGCCATCGTCTTTGTCACGGAAACGGTGCTGAAATCGTTAGGAAGGGAGTGGATGCTTTGTCATTGACTCCTGCGTTCACAAATAGGGGTCTCTCAGCTCCCAGGTGCCAGGCGCTGATCTAGGTGCCAGGGACCGAGCGGTGGACACAGGTGAGTCTCAGGATGTAACGTCCCGACTCGAGCCGAGGTCCTTCACACTCAGGGAAACAGACCCTGGAACCTGGACGGCAAAGTCAACGCTGGTGGTGTCTTCCTCAGCCCCATGAGGTTTAGCTTGCGCATTTGAGGCGATTCTTCCCGCTGACGGCGGGACGCCGTGCTGCAGGCGACCTGCGCTTGTCTGTCAACCTACACGTGACCACAACTGCGGTAGACATCTGTCCAGACCCCCGGCTGCTGGCTCCAACCCCCCAGCAACGGTTCTCAAACTTGAGTCTGCATGTAAGTCACCTGCTGGCCCCACCCCCAATCTCGAACGTCAACGGCCTGGGGGGAATGAGAACCTGCATTTCTTTTTTGTTTTTTAATTTTTTTAATGTTTATTTATGTTTTAGAGAGAGAGACACAGAGGGAGACACAGAATCCAAAGCAGACTTTAGACTCCAAGCTGTCAGCACAGAGTCTGAGGCAGGGCTCGAACTCATGAACTGTGAGATCACGACCTGAACCGAAGTCCTGACGCTTAACTGACTGAGCCGCCCAGGCGGCCCGAGCACCTGCATTTCTAGCCACGGTGCTGCAGTGCGGGCTGGGTCACGTTTGGAGAGCCACCGCTCTAGGTGATCAGGACCCTGTTGGCCAAGGCCCTTTCCTCTTGTTTTTCCATTTCAGAGCCGACTCAAGTCACGTCCAAGTCTGATGAGAGCGTGTGCAGAGCTGGTGTGCGGCCCGACGTGACCAGGGGAGCTGCAGGCTCATAAAGGGGCCTCTGTGGTCACCAAGAGCCACATGCCCTGCTCCCCACCCAGCCCGGCCTGCCCGGCTTACTTCTGCCCCCCTTACAGGGTCCCTGCTGCAGACTCTTGGAGGGCCCGGTGCCCTGACTCCAGAGAAGCCTCAGGTGGGCTTAGAGCCCTTGTGGGGCAGAGCCCTTGTGGCTCTGCAATGTTCGCAGAGGTGTTTCTTCAAGGTCGCGCCTCTTACCGATGCCAAAACTCCGCAGGGACCAGGGCGCCTGGCACGTGGGCCGTTCTGTGTCCATCTGCTGAGGGGACACTGAGACAGCTCCTGCTTCCAGTGCGGGTGGGCACAGAATGGGAAGCAGGCACATCGCCCTCTGTGGGGCGTCCCTGGGCTGGTCGCTCCACTGTCCCCAGCTCTTCCCGGTCCCTGGACTCCGTCCCTCAGCTCTGTACACCTGCCTCCCTCCCCTGGGGCCAGTGGCCACTCACAGGTGCGCCAGAACTCTTTCCAAGACCCCCCAACTAGACTAGGGGACTCGGCTGTGGGGAAGTCAATGCCGGGTCCAGGGTGACGGTCCCCCCACCGCGAGGTCAGCAGGCTGGGTCTTCTTGTCACTCCAGGATGAAACAACCTCCCCGAAAGTGGGGGCCTCTTCCCGTGTGTCAGTCTCCTGCTTCCAGGGGTCTGACTGCAGGACCCGCTAAGCACATGTTTCCAAAGCACCGTAATCCTGGAAAGCCTCTCCCTTTTGGGTTTCTTCTGTTTCGGCAACAGCCCCTGAGTTTTCAGGGACATCCTGTACCAGACACACAGCATATGCCCTGACAGACGACTGGGGCAAACTGATCCGGACCCCTGGTCATTATCAAAAAGTCCAGACAGATGCATTTTCACAATAACGTCTGGCTCTGGGTGTGTTTTAAATTACAAGGATCACTCTTCCTTTGTGCCATTGGCCTCGATGGAAAAAGGCTGGTGACGCCTGCCGACCGGCAGCTCACGGCGGATACTTTGGTAGCTCGAGGCGGATACTCTGGCTGGCTTTATCCCAAGGCACATTCCTGCCCCCACGTTCACGAGAACCACGAGCACCACAGGGCGTCCCGCTGGCCAGGGCTCAGGTCCAGAGTCAGGGACAGCAAGTGAACAAATCCACCATAATGCCTGAGATCTCACACCTTCCTTTTCCCATAGTGACACCCCTCCTGGGAGACGCTCCTCCCGTGTCCCCCTCCTGGCTGGGCGCTCCCTCTCCGAGCCTGCAGCCCCGCCCCCCCGATCACTCACCACTGTCCCAGAGAGCGGGTCTACTCGGGTCAAGACGGGCTAGCGCAGCCTCAACGGCCTCGTCACCACAACCTCTGCTCTGAACACAAACGGAGCAGGGAATTTTCGTACAAATCTAGTGGCTTGCAAATACAGACTCCCTCCGACTCAGGCAGTGCATACTGTGGCCCTATCCGGTAATGTCAGCAAGAAGGTCCCTGATCCCTGTGCACCACCCAGGACTGAAAGACGAAGAGAGCAGAGGAGCAGTGAATTCTTAGAGGTGGGCAGGCGACTGGATGTCGGGGTGCAAGGAGCCTGTGCATTCTGTGTGTACCTGTGTGTGTGCATGCCTGTGTATCTGTGTGTGTGCATGCCTGTGTGTGTACCTGTGTGTGTGCATGCCTGTCTGTGTGGGTATGAGTCTGTGTGTGTACATGTCCGTGTCTGCGTGCCTGTGTGTGTACCTGTGTGTGTGTGCCTGTTGCTTGTGTACACGTGCACGCCCACGTGCATGTATGTGTGTTTGCTACAACTTTTTTTTTATTTAAAAAATTTAAAAACATTTTTAACATTTATTTTTGAGAGAGAGAGACAGAGTGCGAGCAAGGGAGGGGCAGAGAGAGAGGGAGACACAGAATCAGAAGCAGGCTCAGGGTCCTGAGAGCTGTCTTCTGGGGAGCCCCGACCGCGAACTCGAACTCACAGACAGCCTTGGTCTTGACCTGAGCCGAAGTGGGACGCTCAACCGACTGAGCCACCCAGGCGCCCCTGATACAACTTTATTATTTATTTTTTTTTTTTTTAATTTTTTTTTTTCAACGTTTATTTTTGGTGAGAGAGACAGAGCATGAACAGGGGAGGGGCAGAGAGAGGAGACATAGAATCGGAAACAGGCTCAGGCTCTGAGCCATCAGCCCAGAAACCTGGCAGCGGAGACTCGAACTCCGCGGACCTTGGTCGTGACCTGGCTGAAGCGAGATTAACAGACTCATGCAGGTGCCCCAACCCTGATACAACTTTAATATTCCTGCCCTAATAACCGCCATGATGGAAAACCATATTGATCATCAGTGACATGGCCCCTTGCCCCCCAGAGCCTATGGGTTTCCAGGTCAATTGTGCATCCCTGGAACGAGCCAGGCCCCCCACTCCATCCCAGAGGACACACTCCCATCTCTGTCATATAGCATCAGACAGTCCAACAGGTGTTCACACGTAAGCCATTCCCAGACCAAATCAGCATGGGAGCCGCCTGACCCCAAAGCCCAAATGACCAAAATGACTGAAGCCGGTCCTACTAGGTAACCTTCCATGAAATGTGATGATAAGCAAAGCCATTTAAATCAACAGAAACCCTGAAGATCACGTGATAGAAACCACGAGCTTGCAAGGGTTACAAGAACGAGCCTGTCGGGGGCAGCGTTCAGCCAAGCACTGGCCATCCATCACGGCCGACGATTCCCCACCATTTGAGGGCACAGTCTTGAGTGCCAGTGCTTACAACACATAAAACCCCTTGAGTTATTACTCCCAAGAAGGAACATTCTCAGAACATAATAGATGAATCACCCTGGATAAAGACTTCAGGCAGCTTATGATAAAAATGACTTATTAGACAAACACACCGAACATTTCAGACTGGAAAAAGCTAAGCAGGATGTATTTTCGGCTTTAGGTTTTGGGGTAAATGAAATGATGAGGAATCTTAGTTTTCTGAATTTTCCCACGGTCTCCGAATTGAGACAGCGGGGTGAATGCTGGCGTGGCTGGAGGCTAGGAGCCACTGGAGCCACAGGAAGGAGACTCGGGGTCCCTGTTGACAGAAGGACAGTGGTCTCGGGGACCACCTCTGTGTGTCTCTGACCCATACCCTCAAGGGACAGAGAAAGTGAGGCCTCTGCCCCAGAAGCAACTTCACTCAGCTTGTCCGCTCGGCTCTTGCTTGATCGAAGTGGAAAGACCACGCACCCACAAGAAAATCAATGGGGGCCGCCTGGGAAAACGCTGTAGTCATTGGTACTTTTTGTCCATTTAAAATAGAAAATGCTTGAGAAGGATAGCATTCTCAATGTCGCCTGCTCCAATAATTTCAACTAAATCATTTCTCATTTAAATACTTTTAGGAGGGGGGTTCATAGATTTCTAAACGCAAGAGCTATTTCAGGTTTGAAGACCCACAGAACCAGACGCTGGACCACGCGTCAGGGGTTCTGCGTGGGGGGCACCCAGAGGCTGGTGGCCACCCCACATCCTTCACCCTCCTTCCCTCTGTCTCCTCTACCTTTTTATCTCTTCAGAAAGAGGAGGGAGGCCAAGACGGGCCGCCATGTGCAAATTAGAAAGAGCTCACTCCTCTGGCCAGGCCAAAAGATGAGTCAGAAAACACTCCCTGCACCTGCTCATGGGGACGACGGACTGAGCGAGAGCCCCTCTCTCCCGGGCAGAGCAGCAGAGAACAGAGTCCTCGGGGTTTGGCCAGTGGGAGTGGCTCAGGATGTCTCAGCCCCACACACCCCTCGGGCCTGGGTGCCCCCTGAGCCAAGAGCAGAAATACCAGCAGGAGAAGAAGGATGAGGGGACCTGGGACAGGCAGGGATCCGAGATAAAGGCTGGCGGGCAGAACCGCACGCAGAAAGGGGAGCCGAGCCCCAAGGTGAGGGTTACCGGGAACCCAGAGTGGGAAACAGGGAGAATAAAGAGGGGATGACCACGGTAACGGCAGGATTCTTCCCTAAAGTCAAAGGCAGTGTGGAAGGAGTAAGGGGGGGGGGGTGCCAGCACGAGGAGCTCCGTCGGCCTGGGCTGGCCTCGCCTGAGGGTCCAGGCAGGCCAGGACAGTGCAGCGTGCCGGACCCCCTTCCCACGTGCACGGCCTCGGGGTTACCCGGGTAGAACCCGCAGTCACCGACTTCCTCCAGAGCTCGTCCTCGGTCCCCGTTCACACTCACCTCTGGGGAAGTCTGCCCAGCTTTTGCATAAAACGAAAGCATGATGTTTGCCTACACTTAAGTGGGCGACGACTTCGAACAAGGCCCACGTGCCCTAAAAGGGTCAGTGACATTTGGAGCCCAGCCTCGGAAAGCTGTGCCCGCACCCAGGAACCTGGGCGTCGCACCTGCTCTGGAGAGAAGGGTCGGGGCCCGGCTCTGGGGGTTGGGGGGCACCCTTTGCAGATGTGCGCCCGCCTACGCCAGCGGCCCACCCCCAGGGCGGGAGGCGTGGTCACGTAGTGTCGCCCTACCTGAGACCAGGGCGAGGCAAACCAGCTGGCCCGAGGCGGGCCCGCGGCTGCATGCGGGGGGTGCCTGGGACAGGGAAACGGGGCGCAGGCTCGCTCTAGCTCCACACTCGGCCGCGGCAAGTGCAAGCACTTCTTTGAGGCCAGCTCTCGGTACTTCCCAGACACATGCTTTTCAGCACATTTCAAGAATCTTCTCTGTGTTCCTCGTTCACACGTAACAGAGCACTAAAAATAAAGCAAAACCCGTGAGCGAACAATACTTCTTTGGTGGCGGCTTTTCACTACGATCGGTGAGTCAAACTGTCTTCGGATTATATCCGCTTGAGCATTTATGTAACTGTGAAAACTGAATGAGATTTATTGGACCTTGGCATTTTAAAAAGGCATTACGGCGTATCACGTGGAGAGGAGGATGTGAAGGCACAGCGTTCTGGGGCCGAAGGAGGGGCAGGGCAGACAGAAACCATGAAGGGAGGAATTCTGAAGCTATCGTTTCATGAGAAGATAACACGTTGGGTTGCATCCAATACTGGAATGTGTGGAAACGTAATACAGCGCCCGCCCCCAAAGCAGGGACCCGCAGGGGACCCCCGGGGCTCACGAGTGTGCCTCAGAAAGCCAAGAGAAGGCGGCAAGTCTGCTCGGGGCACAAATGCGTTCTCTCCCGGTCGGGGGGGGGGGGCACAGATGGAAACAGGGCCTCAGTGAGATTCCAGGCCCGGCTGGATCCATTCTCTGTCCTCCTGAGCAAGGTCATTCGAGGTGTGGGTGGGAATGAGCCCAGCTGGCCCGAGGAGGCCGGGACACGGGAGCTGCTCCGGGATTAGTCTCTCAGTACCCTGCGCGGGGGTGACGCTGCAATTCCGTGGGCTGCTCTCTTTCTGGTGTCCTTTTTGACCCTAGTGACACCTACACGTCTGGGTTGAGGCACAGGGAGATTAAGGAGCTGCCACCACCCTCAGGGAGCCCCTGGGTGCCCGCGGCACAGGTGTAGGGGCCTGGCAGGGGGCCCTTCCCACACCCCCTCCCCAGGGTCGGAGGCTGCGTCGGGCACCCTCACGTGGGGTCACGCCACCGTCAACCCTCATGTTCCCACCTGTTAGCGTTCGGCACACTAACAACACATCAATTCGTGCAAAACCAACATGAGCAGTTTCTTCCCCAAGTGCGGCAACTGCTCACGGAAACGGCTCAGGAAATGGTCCTCGTCTCTTCCCAGGGCAGTCGCCTTCTTCCCGCTCTGCACTACAGGGACACGGCCCCAGGAATGGCTACGGCTGCCCTGGGGCTCGGTGGGTCCCCAGGACCCCGTCAGCGTGACGAGCGTCCCCAACCCGTCCTGGCCTCGAGACGGGGTGGGTGATGGCCCCGTGGATGCCGCTGGGCGAGTGGTTCGAAGGACGTGATCAGAAAGTCCCCAACATGCCAAGGAGGGGAGACCGGAGCCCAAAAGGGTGGCCTGAGCTGGAGAACCCAGACTCGGAGGAAGAGGAGCGGGAAGCAGTGAGAGCAGGGGAGGGGACAGCTGGTCGACCCGGTGCCGAACGCACCGGCTCCAGGAGCACCCACCTGGGACCAGGCGGACACCAGCCACTGCAGCTTCTTGTGTTTGTGGCAGCGCTTAAGCAGACAGACTTCGTGAGTCCCAGGCTTGGGCTCGGAGCTGCAGACCGCGTCCGGCAGCAGCTGCGGCCTGGCCACGGGGCTGGTGCTCTTACAGGCCACGGACCTCTTCCTCCACCCCTTCCCGCAGGTCCGGGAGCACTGTGGGAAGAAAAGGGGCCGAGTCCCAGCGAGGCGTCCGTCGGACCCACCCTGACCCCCCCCCCCCAACCCCCCGCAAGGTCCAACCCAGCTCTGCGATCGGCAGGACGGGACCCAGCTGCCGCCCCCCACACCAGCCCGGCCCCAGTTACCTCCGCCCAGGGCCCCGCGCTCCAAGCGGGCGGGCAGCTCCGAGGCTGGCAGGCCTGTCTGCTGGACGGCATGGGCTGTGGACACAGGCCGGCCGCCACCTGCTCGGACGCGAAGCGTGCCCGTCGCGTGCACTGGACGAGGCGGCTCTGGGTGCCCCCACCGCAAGGCTGGCTGCACGTGCTCCAGTTCCCCACGGACCAGCTGGGAGGGGACAACGGCACCTCGGTGAGGGGCGCCGCCCGTGCTGGAGACACGGCCGCGCCAATCCCACCCACAGCCCACAGGCACACCATTGTTTCCAGTCGGCAGCTCGGCAGCCTCTCCGGTCCCTGCTGCCTCTCACCTTCCCGATTAGCCCTCCTGCCCGTGTTTCTCTCCTCCCCTGCTTTCAGTTCACCGGCACAGTGCTCTCTCCTCCCCTCTCACTGGCTTTTGGGTGGGACACTTCACGCACGTGCAAAAGGAAGGCCCTCTGTGTCCCCATCTACCCGCCTTCAACGATCATCAACTTATACCTCCAAACCCTGCAGCACGTTGACGAAAATTCCAGATGCATGTGGATTTCAATTGCATCTCTGCAAGATGCAGACTCTTTGTTGTTGTTGTTTCTAATTTTTTTTAACTTTATTTTGATAGAGAGAGAGAGAGAGACAGAGAGAGACAGAGACAGAGAGAGAGAGCACAAGTGGGATAGGGGAGAGAGGGAGGGAGAGACAGAATCCCAAGCAGGTTTCACACTCAGTGCAGAGTTCAATGTGGGGCTCAAACTCACAAACCGTGAGAGCATGACCTGAGCTGAAATCAAGAGTCGGAGGCCCAACCGACTGAGCGACCCAGGCACCCCAAGGATTCTTTGGTTTTTATTTTTTTTTAACTTTTTAAAATGTTTTTATTTATTTTTGAAGGAGAGAGAGACAGAGCATGAGCCGGGGAGAAGCAGAGAGAGAGGGAGACATAGAATTCGAAGCAGGCTCCAGGCTCTGAGCTGCCAGCACAGAGCCCGACGCGGGGCTCGAACTCACCAGCTGTGAGATCATGACCTGAGCCAAAGTCGGACGCTTAACCGACTGAGCCACCCAGGCACCCCTCTTTGGTTTTGAAAACATAACCATAATATCTTCGTGGCACATAAAACATTAATGTGATCCCTTACTATCATTAAATATTCAGTGTTTCCTTGCCAACCGTGTCATAAATGTCCTAACTTGTTAATCTGCTTGGTGGAATCCAGACAGAGTCGGTCGGCACTTTGCAACTGGCTGGTATGTCTTTCTTCTCTTTTAGTCTATCGGTTCTTTCTTAATGTATTTTTCTATTGGATTGATTGGTTTTAGACACGATATCGCTCGCCTTGCTGAGTCTCCATAGTGGCTTCTGATGATCGCAGGAGTCCCCAAATTACATCTCTGTGGTTTCACTTAACATGTTCTTCCGTCTCTGTCCTTCCTGTAACTTAGCAGCTGGATCCAAAGGCTTGATTGGACTTAGGTTCTATTTATTTATGTATGCATTTTTTGTGAGAAGACTTCAGACGTGAGAACTTCCCAGTAGGAGGCCCATAAGGCCTGGTCATCTTTCTTTCAATTTGATAGAAGCTGTCGAGAATGTTCTCCCTGAAAGCAAGTTTTTTTTTTTTCTTTTCTGATTCTAGAAGTATTTCTTGTTGATGTGTATGTTGGTGGGTGATGGAGGGGGGATGGCGTTGGGTCCAGGCTCAGCCGGGGCACCGCTATTGGGTCTCAGATAATCCCGCAAATGTCTACGAAGCCACCCACTGGCTTTGAACCAGCCCATCTGCAGGAGGGCCTAAGATGCACGCTCCGGGTGGTGGGTCATCTGAGGCAGGAGGGGCAGGAGAGGAAATGCGGCTCAGAGACAAGGGTTCGTGTGGCGAGAAGGCAGCCATCTGGCCTCTGAGAGGACACGACGACTCTCACTCCTAGTTTCTTCCGTTCAGGGTGTTCAGGCAAAACTTGGAAATTCTGCAGGTAACTCTGAGGCCTGGCGGGCTCCACATTGGCTCTATGAGCCTCCTCCCACAGACTGTACCCCAACAGTCACACGTGAGTCCAGCAGAAGCCAAGAACGTTTGGGGGAGAGCTCGTGAGACGCCTCTCAGAAACACCCCGTATCAATGCGAGAGGCTCTGTGAGGACTCCAGCCGGGGACCCAGCCGATGCAGACAGACACACAGCGTGGAAGATGGGGACTGTCCAGAGCGGACCCCTGGGATTATCCCTCACACTCACTTCTTCAGGGTCGCTCCCTCTCTCTTCGAGTACGGCGTACATTTAAACAATTCTATGTTTTTGGTTTATTTATTTTGAGAGAAGGAGCGAAAGCAGGGGAGGGGAGACACAGAATCTGAAGCAGGCTCCAGGGTCCGAGCTGTGAATGCAGAGCCTGATGCAGGGCTTGAACCTATGAACTGTGAGATCATGACCTGAGTTGAAGTCAGATGCTTAACAGACTGAGCCACCCAGGTGCCCCATTTTTTTAAAGCATAGGTAAGGGCAGGCAATATATGCAACTTAAAAATTTTTTTTTGATGTTTATTTATTTTTGAGAGAGACAAACAGAGAGCGCGCAGGGGAGGGGCAGAGAGAGAGAGAGGAAAACACAGGATCCGAAGCAGGATCCAGGCTCTCAGCTGTCAGCACAGAGCCCGTCACGGGGCTTGAACCCATGAACCGTGAGATCATGACTTGAGCCAAAGTTGGACGCTTAACCGACCGAGAGACCCAGGCGCCCCATATGCAACTTTTAAATTCGGCGTTTTAAAAATTCAATGTCCAAAACAAGCATTTTGCTTACACTGCAAAGCCTCTGTGAGCGTATTTTCAGTCTCTCATGTTTCACTCTGTGGACCGAGGTGCAGGCCCATCTAAGGAAGGTAACAAAGGCTCCCTGCTCCAGGACGCCCATGGGCACCAAGAAGCCTTACCAGTTCTGGGGCGCCGTGCCTGTCAACACGTCTGAGCAGAACGACCAGGACTTTTCCTCACGCTCTCAGAGGGGCCATGACCCAAACACTCTTCGAGCCAATGCCCGGACTCTTGGGAAAGTTGTCAGGACAGATTAGGCGTTAGGCTGATGGGACGCGGAAGGGGTCCCACCCTGGGGCTGGCGCCTGTGGCCGGCTCCTACTATCCCGGTTTTACCTACCTTCGCCTGGAGAAGGCCTGAACTATTTTATACCAAGTGTTTCTCCTCAGCGTCTTCTACTGTGTTGCTAAGAAAATTACAAAGAACTGCAATGCAAAGTTGGAGTCACCTAAAAAGAAACGGCTGGGTCTGTGGGAATTGTTCTATATCAGCTGTGGGAATGTTTTCATTCTTCAGTGTCAACGAGATAACTGTGTTTCATTTCATGTTAAGCCACGTAAGCTCAGCATCCTCGTTGTGAAAATTCCATTTCCAGCCCCATGGCTGTGATGGGTTTGCATTGGGAGCCTCCAGCTGCTTCTCCGTCGCCTCCCCCCATTTCCTCCATGCGCTCTCCCAACCCTGCAGGCCTTATAAATTGTAATTGGTGTATCCACACTGGGGCCGCCAAGATGTCTTGGCCGCTCTCAGGCTTTTCACACCAGCTCGTTAAGTCTTCTGTCTCGGCCATCTTAAGTCGTTCCAACTGGGTTCATCCATCCTCTGCCCTTCTCTTCACTACACGTCATTAAGAAATCCTCCCGAACAAAGATCAACTCACGCAGCGTCTGGAAACGTCAGGTGCCTGTTTTGTTTCACAGGCAGAGCTCTGGGGAGGTGTCTTGATTTCAGCTCATGAAAGAGTCAGAATCCATGCAAGCTTCTGTGCTGTCTGTGGGTTCCGCGACCAGAGGCGAAGGTATGCCTGGTCGCTAACCAGTGGCCGTGCCCGGCCGGCTTTGTTCTGTTCTTCCCAAGTCCACCAACCAGAACAAAGCAGGTAGCCGGTATTCCCCGAATCAGGCGGCCTTCCCAGGCAGGACCCGGTGGACGCCGGTGCCCAGCTGCCACGGTACCTCCCCGCCGAGGGCTCCCCGGCAAGGCACACCTTCCCGGCTCCCCCTGCCGCTGGAGGAAGTGATACAATTTACAGCTGCTGCTCAGCAGTTCAGGCTGGGACCCCTGGAACCATCTGTTCAACGGTCGGCCCCCCTAACTATCAACAGCCATGACCCGTTTCAGAATAACATGACTTTCTTGTCTCCATTAAAAAAATAATCACGACATTTTGGTTTCGGTAATTTAATCTTTCCTTTGAAAATGCAAATTCCCAGCAACGGTATTTGAGGCAGCTCCCGGGCGGCCACGGGGTCTTAACGGCCCCTGGGACTCGGAGGCCGCGGCAACAGGGACCACAGGGCCCACTGTTCACGGCCGGGCCCCAGCCAGGGCCACCCCGGGGCTGTCACCGACTTCGCATCAGGAAGGCTCGCAGACAGCAGACAACTGCTAGCTTCGTTTCAGGAGCAAGATTCCGTTTCTTTTTTCTGTTTATTCTCTTTGAAATTTCAAGACTGAGCACCTGCCCGTTGTTCCATTTTCAGGGAGAAGTCTTGACCTTCTAGGGAGCATCTTTCGAAAACGTAAACGCTCGGGATAGTGGCCGGCAGAAGCCGCGGGAAGGCGTGATAAATGATAGGCACCCACGGCTGCATTTGGTCCCGGGGTGAGTGCCGGGCCCGGGGAAGGCCGCCACTGAACTGCAGCTTTAACCACGGGGCCGCCGCTCCGCTCGGTCCCACCGGGTACCCGCCACGCCCCAGCGGGCTGTCCTTTATTGATTTTGAGAGACGGATCAAGAGAGCACGAGCGAGCCGGGGAGGGGCAGAGAGAGAGGGAGACAGAGACTCCCAAGCACGTTCCGAGGTGTCCGTGCAGAGCCCGACTCAGGGTTTGAAGTCCCAAACCGTGAGATCACGACTTGAGCTGAAATCAGGAGTTGGACGCTTCACCGACGGGGCCACCCAGGCGCCCCCTAAAGGGAATGCTTTCAAGGTAACAATGCACGTCCACCAACAAACAGACGCCAGCTGGAAGAATCTGTCTTTCTCATAGGAAAAGAAAAACCAGTCACGAGTTCACTTAAGGAGCATGGGCCAGCCGTATGCTGAAGGCACAGGGGTGGAGGCCAGGGAGAAATGACCCCTGAGGTCACCTGGCAGGATACCTCAGGCCCTGGGCACCCCTGCCCCATCTGCTGCTCTGGGAATTCACCA